GACCCGCGGCGTGAGGGGAGCGGGCGGGAGGGCGCGGCCGGCGCCGGTGGCAGTGCCGGTCCTTGTACCCCGTCACCAAAAGGCCGCGTTTCGGGGGGTCCTGAACTGCACCTTCCCAACTCCATCCCTCCATCCCCCCGCCGTGCTTCTCAGGGTTCTCTGTCCCCGTCTCCATGCTTCTCTCCGCTGTATTCACAAAGTGCTGTTCCCCCTTCTCTCTTACTACCAGATCCCCGTGACCTCCCCGGTTAAGTGCCGTCACAAGGCTCCCCAGGGAAATGGAATTGCCGAATTCCTAAAGTGTGTTTTCCTCCTTCGTGAACTTGACACCTTCCCCCTCCCTACGCAGTTGATCTAAACTTCTCCAGTCCTTTCTATTTGCCTTGCTGCTGTCAGTTTTCAATCCTGACCTTCCTCTGGCTCCTATAGCCCCTGGAATGAGAAGTCGCCTGCCTCCTGACCCTGCTCCTAGACAGCGCTGGAGAGCCACGTTGTCTTCTGACACAAGAATTTGTTCTGCCCAAAACTTCACGTACACCGATTTACTCTTCCCCTTGTATCCTCTTCAGTCTCAGGTTGCCCCTTGGATATTACAAAACGTCCTTTCCTTCTGCAGTGTGTCAATCAAATATTATCTGGTGCATTGCTCCCGTTCACCTCTTACTCCTTTTGTTGCTGGTTACCTCCATAGAACAAAGGTGTGCTGGCAATTTTAAAGCCCACCAGCTTGCCCAGCTGCAATTCAATCTCAGCTTTCTTCCGCTTCTTCCTCAGCTACTTTTGTCTTCTGCCATCCTTATCCACCACTTCATTTATCTCTTTCAGTATAGTCCCCTGGCATAAACATGCATTTTTCCACCTTTTAAGTTCTGCTTCCTTTATTTCTGATGTCTTTAAACTCTCATGACTTTGCTTGTAGAGTCCTGAGCCATTTCTGCTCCTTGTCTCTTTGTGTTTGGACTACTGCAGTTTGCAGAAATTGCTGTTTTAGGTTGTACTTGCAAGTCATTTAATTCAAGGTCTCTTTTGATCTTAAGTGATACTGTATATTTTGATACTTTACATTTCTCACAGTGAATAATTTAAAAAATAATTTGTTTGAGAACTATTTTCCTGCTCCTCAGTGATTGGACCACACTCTACATCAAAGGATGCCCAAAGCTTCTGTCAATGAGTGCATTCTTATTCTAAGATATTCTTACTTATTCAAGTGGCTTGACCTTACTGATAATCTCTGGCAGTATTGTGGGAAATAGTATTAGATGATAAATTTTTATTTGTACCTTGTAAGTTTTGTTGCTTCATTTCTGCTATTTACTTATTTTTATGCTGTTAGGAAAAGATTGCATGGAATCCTTGCTCTCCCATCTGCAGTTTGTGCCAGTTTGATTGCAGAGTTCCAGTCTTGTGATACTATTTGGATTGGGGAAGGTGATATTCCTGATCATTTTATTGTTCATCCACTTCTGTCTAACCTCCAGGTCTAATTCTACCATTTCATCTGAAAAGCAGCACAGGCAAAAATTATTTTCATTCTTCAGAGCCATGTTCTGGGTGCTTTATTCAGCCTTTGCTCTTTGATTTCATTCTGTTTGGACTACTGCTGGTTATTTCTTCAGCTAGAATCTCCCTTCAAGGCAGACCTTTGGAAAAATAATCTTACAAATTTTTGTTCTAATCCACGATTGCATCGTGGATGTGCGATGAGAGAATTTGGAATATATGAATCCAAGCAAGTTTTAGTCCCCTCTAGCTGCTTCCCTTGCTTCCTGTTTGTCAGGACACACGTGCCACTAACTTCACACAGGAGTAAGAAGGACAAGAATGCCCCACTATCCTGTGTGAGAAGCACCTCTGGCAAACTCAGTCCTGTGATGAATCCAAAGTAATGTGTTTTTTCCTTCATGCAATGTTTTAGGTGGGATACTGAGATCTGCTTCTGGCAATCCACGGAGAGCATGTCGTGTCTGGCAGTGCTGCATCTTTTGTAGCACGTGCAAGACAGGAAGGGAGGCTTCCAGGAGGACTAGAAACATGGTCATCCAAAGATTTATCTTTTGCAAAGGCAGTGCCTTTAATCTGTGCTTCCAGGGTTTATATAATTAAACTATTCAATTCCTGGTGAATGTAAACAATTAAAAAATAAAGGATGAGAATCTGTGTATCTGGAAGGATCTGCCACAGAGATTTTCTGGATTAGGCAGAGGTAGACCTCTTTTTACTGGAGAAACATCAAGTTTTCTTCAAAATGTGGATTTCAGACCATGTGAATTGGAAGGGCAGAAAGCTAACTCTGCCCTGGAGATGTGTCAGTGGACTGCCATGCTAGCCCAAAGCATTTCCACGGTATCATCACCCTGTGTTTACTCTTTTTCCATTGCCAGAATCACTGCAGCAATCAGACTGCAGCACTTGAGGGATTGTGAGGAGTGGGAAGCTTCCAATGACAAGCTGACAAGGTGCCGTGTGAGGCAGAGTCCCTGCCCTGCTGGTGCCCAGCAGTGATCATGGAAGCTGATTCCAACATCACTGCAGCACACACCAAAAAGCAGTTGAGCTACAGTGGCACTGATAAAGCTCTGTCAAGTTCTAGGCAACTGACATCAAAGGAAGATGTGTACCAGTGGTTGGCTGCTAAAAGAAAAAGGGAGAAAATAGGCAGAAAACATGACTGAAGGGATGCTTATTTAATCTAAATGAAATATAAGAAAAATACTGAGTAAAATCCTCAAGAAAAAAAAAAAAATATGGTGAAAAAGACAAAGATTAAGCTGTTCTATTTGCCCCCAACAGAAAGGATTAGAAATAATGGATTTAACTTGAAACAATGAAGATGGAGGTCAAACAATTAGACAAGTTCTTATGTGGATGTGTAATTATCCTGGGAGACTTGGTCTCTGTCAGCAGTGTCTGGGAAAAGGCTTGACCCCTTTGCATCCCTGAAAGTCTTGTTTTCTATAGCAGTTACACTGTTTGGTTCATGGCTTTATTGTTGGGTTTGTTTGGCATTTCCTTTTAACCTCATTTACCACTTTAATGGTAAAAGAAGAAAGTGGCCAAACAAGTAGTGCAGATTTCTGATATTTTAGGAAATTATTATCATCTTCATTGTTCATTTTAGGGAGAAGATTAAAACCCAGATGTGAGAGGATATTTTGGGACCTGATCTTTGTTGATAGTTTTAAAAGTTGAACATCCAATACTTGAATAGATTTAGCACGTAAAATGATTTGCACAAAATCCTGCACAAAATCCCCAAGAGGACTGGTAATTCAACAAATCTGCTGATCCTCAGTTCAAGTCTGTTGTCACAAAACCACGTGGATAAAGTCTGTAATAGCGTTTCCTTCCTAGCTCCTTGGGGCGAGGACAGAATTTTCCATTTTTATTAATGTGCTGCATATGTTGGCCTGATGTTAAGTATTAAATATCCTTTTTCCAGACTTTGTTTCAACTTCGTGATGTCTTCCCCTGAAATCGCTTCCCTTTCTTGGGGTCAGATGAAGGTGAAAGGCTGCTCTACAACATATAAGGACTGCAAAGTATGGCCGGGAGGAAGTCGGACGTGGGATTGGCGAGAAACCGGGACTAATGTAAGTTTGCTGCTTTACTACCCTGCGTTTAAAACAGGACTCTGAGAATGGTCCAGAAGACAGTGTCGAAGTTCCAGCCAGAAATTGAGTGAGCTGCCTTTTTCTTTCATCCAGCCATTAGATTTTCCTGGGAAGAACTGAGTGTATGTTTTGGAGGTGACTTTGTGGAGGGGTCAGAGGGCTGCAGTCCCACAACATCCTACACGCAACAGAATATAGCAACTGTTGCCATGAGTTCTGACAACTGTAGCCAGCTGGGGTGGTGGTGGAGTGCCTTGACCCTGCACCTCTCAGCTGCTATAGTGAATCCAGCTTTAGCTTTTAAAAAGGCTGAGTGAAATTCAGCTCTCTGCAACGCAGAAAAAAGAGATAGAGCTTCATATTTCTTCTCTTTGGAGGCTTTAATTCATCTCTCTGCCCCAAGAAATCTCTGTACAAATGCTACTGGGCTTACAGGAATTTGACCTTTTATCTCCTGGAGGTCAGGGTATGTTAAAGGGGACAACCAATAAGAAACACAGAATTAACATGAACTGAAAAGGATGCTGGACAGGTGGCTTTTTGCTTCACCACACCTGCGAAGGTGGCCAGCTAAGGTTTCTCCCCTAAGGAGAGTGGCAAACTGTATAGTAAATAGTTTCTTCCCTCTGAGGAAGGACGGGTGTATTGTTGGCTGGCTCACTGTCCCCCACAGACAACCACCCCGACCAGACAACTCACACACACCTTAGAGCTCTCAAACAATATTCCTCATCTGCTTAAGAGTGCAATTGTCATAAGATGCCAGTAGCAACCTCTCTTCAGACTGTCTAAACAAAGTTGTCTTGAGAGAGATAGGAAATTATGGTAAGTAAAATAAAAATATAGACAGTAACTGACCTTGCATGTTTGAAAGACAACATTGCATGTGGTTTGGTTTATATCCTTTTCCTTGGGGTCCCTTGTACATATTTCAGATGAAAAATATGCAGATACAGTGTCTCATGCACTATTTTCTCTGTGAAAAGCTCACAGTCTGACTAATCACACAGCAACTTCTCTTGGTAGCCATATACTAAGTGTTTGCCCTTGTAATTTTTAAAGTTTATCTGTAAACGCAATCAGAATTGGATGAAAGTACATGAAGCAGTATTCAGATTTAGAAGCAGTGTAGCATATATTGTGTTAGGAACACAATGTTGATAATTCTCCCCATATTAGAACTTGCACTGCAATAGATAATTGGCTAGGAAAAAAAAAAAGTAAGATGTAAGTCACTTGAAAAGCTCCTGCTTTAGGTCAGTTCTATCCTTGCACCTGAGGAGTGAGGTGATTTTCTTTTAAAATAAATTGCAAACAACAAATATTAAGAATAGAACTAAGCTTTTTCTAGACTATCTCCAATGTTGAGAAGGACTGTCAAAAATTTAATTTTGTCAGCACTAGAAGCAGTAGGATTCAACAGCTGCATTTTCTGCCCTTTTTTTTAATGATGGACTACAGTTTGCCTGCTTTCCTTAAGCATGTTTTTCCTGGAGGTAGCTGGAACTGAAGTGTGGAAAACAAGCAGTGCTGGTCATGTCCTACACTCTAGTTGGAAATAAATTGCTTCCTTTCCTCCTTTGCTGTCACACTGCTGTCTAGTGGAGCATTCTTTCATCAGGAAAATTGTATAACTGGCCCTGCAAGGTTCTGTAACTGAGCGCTAACAGTTATTGTGGCCTTAACCCCTGGGGATGAATGGCACCCTCTCTCCCTGGCTGGCTGCATTTCAGTGCCATCTGCTAATGGCAGAAGAAAAGAAGTAGGTATTGCTGAAATAAAGGCCAGATAAAAGAACAGGCAAGGAAATCTGCTGTCAAATCAACAATGATACAGTTATTTCATCATGTTACATGTTTCCTTTAGTAACACTAGTTTCTTACTGGCATCAAAGTGTCTTGTGTAACCAAAGAAAATCCTTTTGTCCCATGGATTTAATGTCTCAGGAATGCTTCTCAGGTGACAGTAAACCTTCCCCAGAATCTAATTATTGTAATTGCAATAAAACATACCAATTCTTGTTGTCTAAGTTTTGAATCTACTTATAAAAACCCCAAAGGGAAAGCATTGCCTATTCTGTCATAAACAAATACTTAGAATGATTTGGTCTGAGAAAGCTCTGCCTATTCAAGTGAATTCTGCATTCCAGGTGTGGATATGGAATGTAAATGGACTAAGGGGAACACAGCCTTTGGTCCTGGCAGCCCAAAAGGCCAGACCTGTCCTGGAGTGTGTCAAGCACCAGCACAGCCAAGGGAGGTGCTTGTCCCCCTCCGTTCTGGAGCGGGAGTAGCCCCACTTCAAGTTCTCTGTGCAGTTTTGGGCACCTCAACATAAGAAGGACATCAGACTGTTAGACTGTGATACAAGGAGGGTGATGAAGAAGCTGAAAGGCCTTGAGGGCAAGGCTTATGACTAGCAGCTGAGGCAATTTGGCTTGTTCATCTTGGAGAAGAGAAGGCTGAGGGGTGTCCTCATTGCACTCTACATTTTTCAGAGGCGGGGCTGTGCAGGGAAGGTGCTGACCTCCTCTCTGGTGACCAGTAGGACCCACAGAAATGCAGTCAAGCTGCAAGGGGACATTCAGATGAGGTGTTAGGAAAAGGTTTTTTTACCCAGAAGGTGCTTGGGCTCTGGAACAGACTTTTCCAGGGAAGTGGTCACAGAGCACACTTGTCAGAGTTCCAGGAGCATCTGGATAATGCTCTTAAGTTGTGGTTTAGCTTAAGATAGGCCTGTGAATGATTCTCATGGATCCCTTCCAACTTGAGGTGTTCTTGTGGAATAAGTTTAATTCACTCATTGGAAGTAGCACTCTACCATGGAAGGCTATTTTCACCTGCAACTTTAGGAGCTCATGTGTTTGTTTAGGCTTGAAAAGTCTTACTTGCTCCATTCTCCATGAGTCCTCCACGGCATAAGCATTACCTACTTCAAGTGAGAAACTCAGACCTCTAGAAAACTTCGGCATTCTACTTAAAAACAAAAGGGGGAAGGACAAATAATGTTTTAAAAATAAAAATGCACACCAAAGAGGGCCCAAATTATAGCCACAGGATGTACAGTATCTTACTCTTGACCACATGAAGATACACAGAAACTGAATCCAGGAGGAGAAGTACTGTAACATCATAATGTTTTATATTAACATTATAGGTGTGTTTATGTCTTGTTCTTATGTTTAAATTATAATAGCAGTAAATGGGTGTACTTTTTAAAACCTCTGTTAATGTGCTGTGAAAGTTCCTTCTTTCTTTGAGGAGTTTGGTTTCAAATATTCTTTTCTCAAAACCAAGAATAGTGAAGAAATGGATTCTGTTAGCTGAAATGAAGCCAGCAAATACATTTCAGTCCCCTTTGGTGAGATTTGCAAAGTAAACAAGAAAATTAGTTAATATTTTTAATTATCTGAGGAGCTCTTTCTATTTAAATTGAGTAAACTTTGGCTTGCAACAATCTTTATTACAAGTAGATTTTGTTATTGAAATCAAACAGCATATTGTTGCAATTTACTGATTTCACTTTAACTGTTGATATTTATAAAATGCCCAAAGTTAAACATAAATGTTTTAGAAATGTGTAATGCATCTTTTTGGTTTTGGCTGTTTAATAAGGAACTATAATCTTGCTATCAATCAATTAATTATCATTGTTCATCTACATATTAAATACCTTTTTCAGTTTCTAATGTTGTCTACTGTGTGTATGTACAGAAGAGGGTTGTGTTCTGGTTCTGCTAATTTACCTTGCTGCTCTGTGTTCAGGACACACAGATGCAGCTTTCAGTACACAGACTATTATTTTCCTTCCCTGACACTTAGCATTCTCCAGGAGTGCAGCCAGCTGACCTTGAAGAAGTCGTCAAGAAGGGTGTTAAAACTATGGTGATTGGTCGTGGCATGAGTGAGGCTTTGCAGGTAGGTTTTTGTTCTGTGACAAGCATAAAGAGAACTGTTTGTTTTCCCTCTCCCTCTGATTAGGAGGAAAAAAATTAGATCGATGATGCTTCACTAAGAGGGAAAAAATTGAGGATCAGTGTGAATAAGCTCCTGTCAGGGGTCCCTCAGGTCCTGAAAGAAACATCATTTGAGCTTCCCTGTATTAGTGTCAATGTCAAGCAGTAAACAGGTTTATGTTCTGCTACAGGAGCAACTGAAACAAGAATTTTTCAGAATGTCATTAGGCCCCTCCTCTTGCAATAGGTTATAACTGGCTCTCTAGCCTGCTGTAAATACTTTGGTAATTAGGCATTCTTGTCACAATTGTTGCCAGGGTGTCGTTTCAGCAGATAAACTAGCTACAGAAAGCTCAGATCAGAAGTGCTGAGCTTTACTTGGTGAGAAGCAAGTCTTTAGCTTTCTGGTGAGATGAATAACACCTTCTTTAGATTAAATTCCTTTAGTTCCAATTCTATTTATTTTTGTAAGAGGACTGCATTTTAAGGTGTGCTAAGGAGATAGGAGAGGTGTCTGTATAAAAGTAGCTTTATTGAAGAGAAAAAAAATTAAATCAATCTTACAACTATCTGAGCATTATCATTTTGGCTACTGGCAGTTACTTAAGCTGTGTTTAACAAATGGCATCAGTACCTGGTTTTCTACAAGTCTTGCAGTCTAAGGGGAAAAGAATCTGATACTTGCTTTTGTGATTTCCTTTTCACTTCCGAGGTTCCAGCATCCACCGTGGACTATCTGAAGAAGAACGGGATTGACGTGCTGGTGCTGCAAACAGAGAAGGCTGTGGCGGAGTACAATGCCCTGGCCGCTCAGGGTGTCAAAGTGGGCGGGGTCTTCCATTCCACCTGCTGAAGCGCAGCTCATTCCGCCTTCCCGGCCCGCAGCCAAATCACAGACACACCTCTGCTGAATCAAATTGCAATCAGCAGAGGGTGAGCTTAAGTGCCAAGGCATTTGTGCACTGACAATCTAAAATGCAAAGACAGTTTATTAGTTCAGGATTTAAACAAAAGGCGGGGCTGTTAATGTAATTAAATTGTTCAATTACAGAATCATTTCCATCTATTGTTGATATTGACCTAATTTTCCTCTGAAGGCTGTCCATAGTCTTGTTACTTAATTTTTCACCTGTTGACTATATCAGGAGATTATGTTTTAAATACTTTTATTAGAAAATGGCCCAAAATTACATTACTGGCTACTGGAATGCAGCCATAAAATAGCTGATGAGCACAAACAAATGGTAGATATGAAGTAGATATAAAGAAGCACTTTACCACCACTGGATAAATAAGTTAAAAATAAAATAAATTAAAAAGCAAGCCCAGAACATACAACTTTATCTCCTTCAGGTGACCTCAGTCAGGGTATTTTCCAATTTATGAATATCACATAATAGAGCACTTTTAAATTTTTCGTTGAGCCTGAAGAAGGGGAAAATGTCATCAGGGTATAAGCATAAAACCTGTGCCTTGAAGAATTTTATTATTAATTGCTAGTTGTGAGGATTTAGTTGTCTAATACATATCTATTCAGAAGTTCTTACATGCTTAAAATCATCAGAAAGGTGTGTTACAAAACTAGAGTTTGCAGCATAAAAAATTGATCTTTAAATCAGTCTGAATTGCTGCTGGCAAGCTGGGGATGCATGTGAGAATTGTTACTGGTCATCATTACCTGATGATTTAAATGTTGTGTATTATTACACTGCAGATTTAAACTGTTCTCTTGGTTGCTGTTCTTGGTGGGCTTCTATCAGTGTTGCCAGTTACAAGTTAACTACTGTAGAAATTTTGTCCCACCATGCTCACGGTTTCTTGTTCTGTCCATATTAATGCTGTGTGTATTAATAAAAGTACTAAGATGAAGCTTTAAAAGCCCTGAGGCACTTGGAGCTATCCAAGCAGTAGTAGAGAGGCTTAGATTGATAGAAGAGCACAATAACTTTTCCAAGACACACAAAACACTATGTTCTTTTTCTGTTATTTGCTCTAGTAATCATTTAAAACTTTTTATCTGATGAAGTATAAAGTGGTGCAAAGGCAAAGTGAGTACTTGAAAGTTTCATCTTGCAGTCCCCTAATTACAGCAATGTTTTCTGTTAGTGTAGCTACATTTGAGGCAAAATCTTACATAACCCAGCAGGAATTGCCTTTCCAGCTGCATCTGTGTTGTCTGACACAGCAGCTGGTATAATGCTCATTGTAGCTGCTGTGACATTTTTCTGCATTACTTGCCTGGTGTGAAGGAGAAGGTGGACTACTGACCCAGAAGACTGTGGTCATCCCAAGGGAATGCCAGCAGAATGAGTTCCTACCAGCCCGCAGAGTGTGGAGACTTCTTGCACTACATGTTATCTGATAGTGAAGGTGGTTTCACTCTCTTGATTGTGGTCACGTATTTGTGTTATTTTATGAGCTTCTGGGCCTTAAGGCAGCCTCAAATGGGAAAAGGCTTTGTAATGCTTTGGCTGAGAGGACACTTAAAAAAATGGAACCATGCACATTACACTGTTAGGAGAAGTTGAGCAAACATCTTATCTTACTCCTCCAGGTCTGTTTTTTATGACACTTTTTTTTTTTTTTTTTTTTTTTTTTTTTTTTTTTTTTGTGTAACACATTTTTATGTTAATGTGGCACATTAATGGTGATACCACATTCACCAAAACTGCCTAGCTCAGGTCCTGCATTTGAGACAAATGCTGTGGGCTCCTCACACTGCTCCTGCCACATGATCTGTCCTCCCAAAAGGCATGCAGGAAGCAGAACCTGTTTTGCATTGCCAGGTGACTGGGGTGTACCCTACCCAGCTTTGTGCTGCAGCCTCTTAATTCTTCCCTTCATTTGGCAACTGGTAGGATGCAGAAGATTCCACTTCCAAAACAGGGAGCTGCAGTGTGCAAAGAAATGAATTTCTTTTTTTAAAGTTAAACTGCTAAGTTTCACCACCACCAGTAGGAAATTTAGGTGTCAACAAGGAGATTACCTGCTGCAAGTCTTTTCCATCCACGTCTTCTCTTGCTGCACTCATCACAGCTTCCTGAGTCAGCACTGTCAGTTCCCACAACAGCATCTGTTCCACTTGGGCTGCTCCAGTCACTGAAAGCCCGATTTCCTTCTTGGTGTCTGAAATTGCTTTGCTAGATGGTGGAAGCAGCTGGGATTGATTCATCAAAAAATTCCAGCAGAGCTCAAAATGGTATCTTTGTTAAATTGCTGCTTTCAGCTAGAGCCATAAATAATTTGTTAAAATTACGGGCTCATAGCCCAAATCATGGGAATGCACTTTTATAGGGCAGGATTTCTTACATACACCACTGCTCTGCCTCCCACCAGGAAAACGATCTCCCAGTAGGCAGTGAACTCCCACCCTGATGCTGAAATTAAAGCCGAGCTGCGGCTGGGCTGGGAGCCAGGAAGATTCCACCCCAGCTGCTCTGCCGCCGAGTGGGTCAGTCCCCAGCCTTTATCTTTGTGAAGCAGCATGTGTGAGCTGGCAGCCAAGAGAAACAGGCCATAAAAGGCCCACAGACACCAAATGCAACACGACCAGCATTTTTAAGGAACATTGTGCAAAGCCTGGCATCCACAAGCCTTAAAACTTTGTATTTTGAAGTCCCACTGATACCACGTTAGCAAACTGAAAAGTAAAAGGACAGCCTTTTCTGCATTCCCAGTGCCTGTTACTAAGAATAAAATAGAAGATGCCAGTGAAATAAGATGAAAAAAGTGATTATGATGATAAGATGAAAAAAGCAAGACAGGATTCCAGAGGAAATCCATCTCTGTGAGCTTGAACCCAAGATGATGACCAGTACAGCATGGTGGAGAGTGCAAGTCTGATGAGGAGCAGCCTGAGGGAGCTGTGGGTGTTTAGCCTGAAGGAGGCTCAGGGGGACCTTATCACTCTCTACAACTAACTGCCTGAAAGGAGATTGTATCCAGTGGGGTGTCAGTAACAAGTGACAGGACAAGAGGAAACAGCCTATAGTTGCACCAGAGGAGGTTTAGATTGGATATTAGGAAAATATCTCTTTCCCAAAAGCGTTGCCAGGCTTTCAAACAGGCTACTGAGGGAAGTGGTAGAGTCATCATCCCTGGTAGTGTTTAAAAGGCACATGGATGTGGCACCTGGGGCCATGGCTTAGTGTAGGTGTGGTAGTGCTGGGTTTATGGTTGGACTCCATGATCTTAGAGGTCTTTTCCAACCTAAATGATTCAGTGATGTCATGCAGTCCTGATTTAAATGCAGGCCTTGTTTTTTCATCTTCCCAAGAACTCGCTTTGTACTTTTTGCAGTGAGAGTCCCTGCCCATTTACTTTTTTTGGTCCTTTTAAAATAAGATAGGTGAAAGCCACACCAGGTCTGAGTTAATGTCTCGTAAGCTTCAACTTTGTTCCAAATACACTTATGTATTGTTTTATGAGATCTTGACTCAGTAATTGAATTATTTACTTCCAATAATGTAAAGGTGAGGGATGTTTCAACATCATTGGTTCTTATCAAATTATTTGCCCTTCCTTCATAGATTGCTCAATCTCCCTGTGGCTGCAGCTGTACTGGCACACTGTTCCTACACTTGGAACCATCTGAGAGAGCAGAAACTCCCCATACTTGGGTGACTGTCATCTGAAGTCCTCTGTTCCCCCTTCAACAGAGATGAAAGATGCAAATTATCTTTGTGTGTGACTACAGCCCTTTGTTTTTCTTTTCATTCTGAGATCAATCATTTTATAGGCTATTGCAGTGCAGAAGCCTAACAATTATCCAGAATTAAAGGACAACGGGTGAATGACATGAATGCCTCTGAGACGACACAAAGAGCATGAACTCTGATGTTTTCAAGAGCAGAAAAACCTTAATGTCTCAAACCTGGGGACAGGAAGAAGTCAACATCTGGATTTCAAAAAATACAGTAACTTTTATACAAATTTCTTTTCCAATTCCCCATATGCTGGAACATGGTGTGAAATGGGCAGTCCCACACACATATACAGGCTGCAGGAGAATGGTTTGAGAGCAGCCCTGAGGGGCAACACCTTGGGAGTGTTGATGGGTGAGCAGCTCAACATGACTCAACAATGTGCCCTGGCAGCCCAAAGGGCTCTGCTGCCTTTTTGGGCTGCATCTGGGCAGCAGGCCAAGGGAGGGGACTCTCCCCTTCTGCTCTGCTCTGGTGAGACCCCACCTGTAGTGCTGCATCCAGCTCTAGGGCCCTCAACATAAGGATGTTGACACGTGGAGTAAGTCCAGAGGAGACCATGAAAACACTGGCAGGGCTGGAGCATCTCTGCTGTGGAAACAGACTGAGAGAGTTGGGGTTGTTCAGCCTGGAGAAGAGATGGCTCTGAGGAAACCTGAGAGCTCTTTCAAGTACCTGGGGTTATACAGAGCTGGAGGGGGACTTCTGACAAGGGCATGAAGTGGTAGGACTTTAAAGGGGGGTCTTTAACCTGAAAGAGGGAAGGTTTAGATTAGATGATGAATTAGTCATCTGCTTGCAGAGGTGAAACTGAAGGAGGAAAGGAGAAGCGGTGATTTCTTCCATGATCCAAACCAGGAATCAGAGAAAAATCTACAGAAGAGAAGCCAACTGCAGAATCTGCTCTCATTAGCAGATTGGAAATTTTCATAGCAGCCTTACATTTTCAGCTTGTTTTAGGCATCTTGAAATTACAGTTGGAAGAACTTTTCCACATCCTGCAGTATTTGATTTTTGGCGGCAATACAGAAGGCACTCACTCTTTGCCTAGTATGTTATATAGAAAGGGGACAAGGATAGCATGAGGAGAACAAAATAGCAGAAATTTGATCCAGTACTTAGAAAAAGAGAGAAAGGTGCCAAAATTTTGATATTGAAAATATCTGCTGTGCCTACCACTTTGTGGTCTGGAGCCTATGGACACAATCTCAATTAGAAACATTACTGAGATGACACACTGCACAAAATACTGGTGAAATGCAAAAATGTGAGGAAGAAAAAGGAAGAAGTCTGTAATGAGCCCACTCAACTTGTCAAGTATCTGCCCAGACACAGCTTCCTAATGAGAGATACATCAACCCTGTCTGCTGGGAACTGAACTGAGTATGCCAAAGACAAGTCAGATGATAACTTAGCTGTCAGACGGGCGGGAGATTTTCAAAGCAGTGCCCTAAAGGTGAAACACCAAAAAACAGAAGAACTTCTCTCTTTGTAAGAGCAGAAACAATAAGAAAGTAAATTTAATTCAACAATACCTAAAGCAGCAGCAAAGTTTTATGGCTATGAGCCTTTGGGCTACAACTTACCAGTGCTAAAAAATTAAAATCACAAGAAACATGCAATGATCTTATTAGCCAAGGACCATGCAGGCATCCATGTTTGCTCATATTATAAAAAAGAAACAGAATAACATGAGTATTCCAATTTTATTGTAGGAAAGCATGTAAGGGGTTATTTACACTAAATACAACCGGAAAGTATTTCTCCACTGTTTTGCTTACTTGGTAAAAATACACCTTTTTTAAAAAAGAAAAAAAATCCAAACAAATTCTTGAACACAGGCAACATTTGACCCCTGCACTAGAATGTTTCACACATTAGGTCCTCCTAAAAAATCCTACCAAAGGATTGCTACAAATCACAGGAGGCTCCTCAGTCCACTAAGCCTGGAATACAGAAGCAATGCACAGACACACTTCCCAACAGGAACAGCAGATGGATCATGTTTTAACTAAATTCTTGTACCTCTGTACTCCCAGCTCACCTCCATTGGGGAGCACTGACTAGCTGCCCACCTGCTGCTGGCAGACTGTGTTTGGTTACTCTGACTGACAATAAAGACTTTGAGTACCAAAAGTGCTGCTGAATTAAAAATCATAGATTTTCACAGCCCACTACGACTGGTTCAGGCCAGGATCATCACACAGAAACAGATCCTGTAAAACTTAGTGGTTAGGAATTTTCCAACTGGTACTTAATCACATTGCTCCTTCAGCTGCACAAAGGTGCAACATGACACAAACTGCTTTGTTGCTGTAGCTCAATTAAACTCCATGTCCTGCTAA